AACATGAATTACAAGTTCAAGAATCTAAACAAATTAAAAAGAAATGTTTTCATAAGAAAACTAGGTTTAAAATTATGTATTTGAGAAACGAGAAGTTAGAATAAAGACCAACTCAAATTCCAATCTCGATTATTCTACGAGTCGGAAGATAAAGAATTCTAGAATTATGCTATTTCAACGGGATAATTGATTTTTTTGACTTATTATTATATACAAAGACAATATTAATTGTGTAAGCAAGTTAAAAGTGATTCTCACTTCTACATGCTTTGTTCACTCCAAACTCCAATTTATAAGACTTTGTCCCACAAAAGGTTTCTACTTAAGTACCGTACAAACTTGAGTTGAGAAGAAGGGCAAATGGCGGATCGACAGCAAGAAGCTTTGTATTGATTAGAAAAACCATGTGAATCCAAACAGTACTGCATACTTGGTTTGATTCTCTACCTAAAAACTAGCCTATCGTTCGCACACATATAGCCAATACAAAGTTGATGCTCAAGCTGGTATGTATGCGTGTGTGCGTGCGTGTGTATATATATATATATATATATTCTCTTCTAGTCCCTGAAAAAAGAAAACAAAAGCTTTCATAATTTTTGTAACGAACTTGATATATTTCAATAATTAAATAATACTTATATTAATTTAATAAAGTAATTAAGAAAAAAAAAATATGTACTGGATGGTAATTGCAGTAAAAAAATGGTGACTCCCTGGAAAATTTGTGATAAACAAGGTTTCACCAATTTGAATTTGAATTGAAGAAGTAATGTTAACATCAAAGGAATACTGCATATACACAGTGCATGAACATAAATATACAGTGGTTTCCTCTTTGGTGCTGGAAGTTAAAAAAATAAATTGAAAAAATGATTCCAAAAGAATTGCAAATGCCATATAAGAATTTCTGATTTCTACATATTCACTTTGATAAACTATTTTAAGCATATCTATATACGGGAACAATATGTTCCAAAAGGCATATGACAACTGAGTTTCATCTAACACTATAATATAATATAATATAATATATAGATATAGATATATTAGATGTCACTTTCATATTGTATTTTATTTCAATTATGAATATTGCTGTAATATCTCTTTCAGGAACTTGTGCTTGTATTCAAAGTTCAAGCCTTGAAGAAGACAATCATATTCAAATGAGTCTATTTCAAGACTGGTAATTTTCTTCAAAATGAGCTTTGGTTTTAAGCTGTTAGTATATATGCATATATATATATATATATATATGATGATAATTACAAAACCAACCAGCAAGAAAAAGACAAGTATGGTTTACTCACTGTCATTTTTATAGAATTGAGAGGTATAGTTTGTAAGCATTAACTTATATATACATATATATATGTGTGTACATGTATACGTGGATATACATATATATATATATATATATATAGTAATCGCTTTTGAAGGGTTTTTTTTTCTTTTTTTTTTTAATTTTCTGTCCTGAAAATTAGGTTTAAGAGTATAAATTATGTACCTTTAAAAATATTGTACGTAAATACGTATATGTACTTGCTTAGTCAAAAAAAAAATGAAGAAGGAACTAATCTCAGTCATAATCATTCTTTGAAGGAATACCTTTTTTTAATTGAATTCTTATCAAAATTGGCATTTAGAGATAAGAAGAATCAAGCAATATATATATATATATATATACATATATATATGTATATGTATACATATAAAGTAATTATATCCTCTATTTGTAAAAACTAGTTTTACTTAATTAGCCAAAATTATATGGATAGATATATATCAACTTCTTACAGCAGCTAATTAACGATATCTCGTTTTTAATTATTAATTAATTTCAAAATTTTAATTATATATGAATTAATTTAGACCCCAAAATAAATAAATTCGTGAGCGTAAAAATATAATTAAAAAAATGATTAAGACAAAATCAATATGTCTAAGATGATTAGTCGAGCAATAAGCTCCAAGGTAAGGAGATCCCTGTTCTCTCATGTCTCCAAATTAGATTTTAATCCAATCAAATCGAATCCACAAAGATCCTGCTTGCCACGTCCCCACCATGCCACATCATCAAAAATGCCACGTAGATAAAATATAAATGCCACGTCTGTACGGTCTTAACAACGGTTCGCCGTAACCGTCGGGTTGACGCAGAGAGTGCCACGCTGGCATCCTTCTTAAGACAGCCCCAAAACGGCTATATAACAAACTTTTTTAACACCCCATCACCTCCATTTTTTCCTAACTTGCTCAAAACCATTTTCTTCTTAACCAAACCAGTTATATAATTTTTTTTTTTCTTATCTAAATCTTCACGAATGCTTCTTCTTCTCTCCTTCTGCTGCTTCATTAATGGAGTCGTCTACTCCATTTTTCTCACTCTTCAACAGCGTTCTTGATTCATAAAAAAAGAGTTTAATTTCATCTCTTCTTCTTAATTAATTTCTTTTTGCTTTTGTTTGTTCTTCATTATTTCCATTTTCAGAATCATTTTTGGATTAAATTAAAAAAAAAAAAAAAAAAAAGAATCATCCACGAGAAAGGAACCATGTTGCAGGACGTGATTCAATCTCAGGAGCACCTTCCCAATATTGTAATGTTTCCTATCCTCAAAAACCATTATATACATATATTTGCTTATATACACATGTCCATTCATATGCAGCTGTTTATAATATGGTTACATGAGTTTCTGGTTAATGATGATTGTTAGTTTGATGATTATCGTCTTTCACGAGCTATTTATGTAATAATTCTCCGCATAAGCTCATGATGCATGATGGATTGAATTTGTATCTGACGAAGGTTGATGTATTGGAATATGGAGATGCATGCATGGTGTGTATGTGTATGTGTATGTCTATAATATATATAAATATCAGTTCATATATAGATTTACGTGCCGTAGATGGAGATTTAAGACCAATAGTGTTGTTCCGTACTTTCCTTGGTTCAAAATGTTTTTGACTTTTTCTTTCTTTCATAGTAATGTCATTTTCTTCTTCTATTCTTGTGCGATCCAAAATCTGAAACAGCGGAATGGTGTGCTAAATTTTCTCGCTTTGTTTTTTTCTAGCTTTTTTTTTTTTTTTTCTTGGTTTTCGATGTTTTCAAATTGGGTAAAAGTTACTTGTATTAATCTAGGAATGATTCAAGAGGCAAACAACACATAAATAGGAAACAGCTAATTGAGCGATCCAGCCAATCAGACCTCGCCATGACATTCATCACTTGCAGACAGAAAAATGTCTGAAAAATCATTCTCTGTGCGTGTGTAATTTCAAAATTATGAGAAAATTTTTCAAAAAAAAAAAAAAAACTGTCATTATCTTAGGAGCACCCATCTCCAAAATGGAAATGCTAATCCCTTTGTGTTCTATAGCTATATATATATATATATATATATATATGTATAGGTAGCCTACAATTATCAATATGGAATATATGTGGCTTTTTATGCTTCATGTTTAAGCTTTCTCTAATTGTGATTCTTTTGTTCGGTTAGATCGATGAAGGGGGCCTAATGAACTCTACTCCACATTCATAACATTAACGGATCCTCTTTCCTTTTTTCTTGTTAAAGTAGTGCTTTTCTGTTCCAATTGTTTGTTCATAAGTAGTCAAATTTCTATATGTTGAAACAAAATTAATATAACATAAATTTCCTTTTTGTGTTAATGATATTCATTCTTTGCCAAAATATAGATTGCATTATCACCTACACATCACATGGAGAACAGATGTATATATTCATGTTTCCATCTCTCACAAAATTCTTTCTTTCTAATGCTACTGTGTTTTTATCAAAAATAGATATAGACTGGTGCCCGGCAACCACACCTCTCAACTAGCTACCCCTTAGGCCCAAGAATCGTACATCAATTATCAGTCAATAAATATATACATGAATTGGGTTCAATTATATGACATGAAACATGTGAAGAATCATGGTTTGTGTAAATGTCAATCCCATATATTCTTAATTGTGATGATGATCATGAAATTGACATGGGTTTGTATTGATTTTACAGGAGGAGATATCTAGCCCAATTAGTGCTCAAATATTTGATTTCTGTGACCCTGATATATTTCAAGATACACTGCAAAATTCTGAAGTCACTTCAAGATCAAACTGTTGCTATGAAGATAACTCCTCTTATACTACAAACTTATCCATAACTCCTGATTTAGACAATACAAATACTAAAAAATCAAACCAAACAGCCTCCAGCACCACCACCACCACCACCACCACTACCACCACCACCGCCAACAACAACAGCAACCTCTCCATCCTCTTTGACTCACAAGAAGACATTGACAATGATATTTCTGCCTCCATAGATTTCTCTTCATCTCCTCACTTTTCTGTACCTCATCTCCTCTCCAACCAACAAGACCACTTTGATTTCTCCTCAGGACAACCTCAGATTCTGCTAACAGATGTTGTCATCAATGGACTCTCCTCACACTACCCTGCTCATCATGATACTGTAGCCGCGGCTGGTGGACCTCATTTTCCTGCTGTTCTTGAAGAAGATTGTTTGTCTTCTGTGCCTTCTTATGCACCTTTGAATCCTTCATCGCCTTCTTGCTCCTTTCTTGGACCTGGTATTCCCACATATCTGCCTGCTGGGAGTATGAATCCTGCTGAAAGTTGTGGGATTTTCACCGGGAGCATCCTCATGGCTTCTGAACTGCAACAACAGGACTTGGAATATCAGGGTGATAGTGGTGGAATTTTCTGTCCTGATGCAATCCAGCGTGTCTTTAACCCTGGAGATTTACAGGTAATATATACTATATATAAACATGCATTGATTACTCTGTTATGAATATTGTAAAACATGAACAAACCCGGGTTAACCTCAATCCTTAGAGAGGGTATATTAGAGTTAATTATATGGAATGAAGTGGTGGGAAATGGCCGTAGCTATCAGAGCATCAAGTGGCAGAAAGTGTATATTTATATGATGGTTTGTGAATCGTCTTGACTACATAAAAAAGAATATGATAGTTGGCAACACTATTTGCATGAACAGAGAAGATATAATTGGTGCATTTGCAATTAAAAAGTGATTACAAATATTAGTTTATTTTCGGTTCGATTGTGATTCTTCTTTAAAAAAGAAAAAGGCACTTAGTAGTGAGAGTCAACAGATGGTGGGTGGGGTTGCTACTTCTGCTCCATTGGCATCGGAGATCTCAAGCTTGGACGATTCAACTTTCAACAAAGTCGGCAAACTCTCTGTTGAACAAAGGAAGGAGAAGATCCACAGGTACATGAAGAAAAGGAACGAGAGAAATTTCAGCAAGAAAATCAAGGTTCACTTCCAATCCGCCCAACCAGATTTTTAAAAAAATATTGATATATGCATACACGTAATGGGTGAATATTAAATGATTTCAGTATGCTTGCCGCAAGACACTAGCAGACAGCCGACCTCGAGTTAGAGGAAGGTTTGCAAAGAACGATGAGTTTGGAGAGACTCCCAGACAAGCTTGCAGCAATCACGATGAGGATGATGAAGATGAAGTAATATTTTCACTTGTTTCATTTTTAACATTTTTTTTTTTTTTTTTTTTTTTTTCTGTTTTGCGTTTTATTGATCCGGAACTGGGGGGGTGCAGGTGGTAGTGGTGAAAGAAGAAGACATGGTTGATTCCTCGGATATCTTTGCTCATATCAGTGGAGTCAATTCCTTCAAGTGCAACTATCCTATCCAGTCCTGGATCTGAAATTAATTCCTTTGAAATTTCAGCATAATTTTCTACTAGAATTTTTAACTGTGACCCTGCTTTAAGCCTCTAACCGGCTTTGATTTTCTAATAATAATAATAATAATAACAATAACAATAACAATAATAATAATAATAATAATAATAATAATAGTATAAATAAATAATTGGGTCGTTATGGTTTATGAATAAGAAGATTATGTAGAGAAGAGAGTGAATAAGGATGATGCAGTTTTTGTAGATATATGCATGTATGTGTCAATGGGTTTTTGTGTACAAATTCCATGGCGACTTCCTTGACTGAATTGAAATGCTAGTTTGAGCAAGCCTTTGTAGTCTTTCCTTCAATCTAATTATATATTTGTCTCTTAATTATTTACTAATTTCCTAATTAATACTAGTCCATTAAACAATTTTCTTTAAAAAAATATTATATTATTACCCAAAATTAGATATTTCATAACAAAAATTAAAAGGTGGGCCAAATTAAAACGTCGTTTGTCGGTGGCCCAACCCAAATACCCAATTAAACGGTTATAATTTCGCTTCCACATTTTTTATACTTTATGGTGCAAAGAAATTTCAATAATAAAAGATAAAGATAAAAGTAAGATCCTATAATGTATGTTTGGTTGCTAAAATAATGTACTATTAATTCAGATAGTCAAATAGAAGTCTCCCCACTTTATACATCTAGAATTATAAGTATAGATTAGACTGTTTTATAATATGGGTGTTACTGGTAAAGGTCATAATCAAGTACGTACTGAATTTTCAAAAGCCAAAGTTGACTTTTTGATATGTTTAGCAAAACAACAAAACAGAAATTCATATTTTTCAAGTAGGTTGTTGGTTAGACCCTTCTTTATACATTACCTAAACTTTTCGTTTCAATCCAAAATTTTTTTTTTTTGAAATTCAATCTTTCTCTCTTATAATTTTCAATTCATAAGAATTACTTCCTCCCACTTTTTTTTTTTTTTTCATTTGTTCAAATATGTAAGTCTACAATATTATTCTCCTCTTGAGAATACCAAAAGCTAAAAGTTAAAAAAAAAATTGAAAAAAAATAATAATAGTGTAGACTTACATATTTGAATGAACTTTCAAATTCTATCTAAGTCATGTATTTTCATTTTCGATAACTTCTTGAATTATAATTATAATTATAATATATTTTTTATAGTTTATAGACATTTTTATACTACGAACTCATAAATAAAGAAATATTCATCCCGCTTTGTTGGATATTTTAATAATTTTCAACATGTTAAATTAAGGTTTCGTAAAATATATTATAGGATAATGAATGTTTATTGGTATAATTTTTGAGAACGAAAACAAACTTAAACAATGTTTGTTTGTATTTTTAATTTAGCCTAAACTTTACTTAACGAAAAATAATAATAATAATTCGAAAAAGCATAATTTTTTAGAAATTAAAACTGTAGATTTATTTTATTTTTTTAATTATCGTTCAAATTTTGTAAATTACTAGTAAGACAAAGCCTGTAACATAAATATTACATGTTATTTTATCAAGTTTCTTTTAGAGTTATTCATTGTTAATTTTATTTTATTTTTAATCAATTCCCACAAATTACATGTTGATATACTTGCAAAAATTTAGATCACATCAAATACATTAACACAGTTGAACTTAATTTTTTTTAAAAAAAATAAAATAGTATCAATTAAATTCTCATAGGTATATTATTGGCAAACACAAATATAATAAATAATATTTTTCAATACTATTTTTAAAAAAATTTCATTTTTTTTTCTTATGGTCGGTAAAAATTAGAATTGTATCGATAGAAGCTAAGGATGCTAAGTTCACTGGATCCAATAACGAAGTAAATTTAAACTGAATTAAAATTTCATTATACATAAACTTTAATATAATATATTTGCAGCTGCATTTCATTATATCATAGTTTTGTGTTTATAATATTTGATTTAATAAAATTAAAATTTTTATTTATTAATGTGTTAATAGATTTGTGATGAATAAATTGAACTAATTGTTAGTAAGTTTATTACATTTCCAAACATAATAAATATTTAACGACAATTGAATTTTTTTAATTAAAATAAGCACAAATAACTTTATATTTTTTTCTCTTTTTTTTTATAAAAATTATTACGTAATTATAAAATATACGTGATTAAAATTGTAAGACAATTTTTACTATTATCAGAGTATGAAAAATACTAATGTTTAAATAACTTAATTTTTTTATAAACATATTAAAAAATAATACTGTCAATCAACCAACTTAATTATACATATTTTCTTTATTCAATCAAAATTCTCCACGAGACTTATATTTTAAACATTACAATTACGAAAATAGTTCACATTTATTTTCACTTGATTCTATATTAATCAATCCTTAATTCATAATTAATTAATTAATTATATGTACATATATACTTACTATACACATACATCAATAATCAATAAACATGTGCCAGCGATTATTGATTGATTATATAATAATCACTTGATTAGAATAACTTTTTTCTTAATTGATTGATGAATTGATTAAAACATTCCCAAAAGACAAAATTGATTGAATCGTTTGTTTCGGTTGTCACATGGAACCAAATTGAACCGCAGTCTATTCGTATAATCAAACAAGAGAAAAGTTACGAGTGGATAGATTAATTTTTAATTATGTTTATGGCCTCACCGCTGATGCAATAAATATATACATTCATATATATATATATATATATATGTATACACACACACATATGTATATGAGAAAGTAGGGAAGAAAATGAGCAAGACCAAACATGTGCACATGAAAAGTATGAAGAATCAAAATAATATATATATATATATATATATATATATAGTAGTTGTAACGCCAATATAAGCAAGACATGGCATATACGGTACGATATCTTATCTTCATATACTCGGCTTTCTTCTTTTTTAGAATTTAATTAATTAATTAATTGTTATAACATTATAATAAATATTTAAAAATTAATAAGATGACTGTCGTGTAAATTAATATATTATGATTTAAAATTTTATACAACATTTAAAAAAATCTAAACACGATCCAATGGAGACCATATATATATATTTTATGTTGTCTAACATAAAGTATGTAAGCATATTTTATTTGATTTTGCTCAAATTGTATTGTGAATTTAATTTGCGTGACGGTCATACAATATGATATGATTACTACATGATGATGATTTGTTCATAGATATATATATTTAATTTTTAATAAATAAATTAATTGATTGATGTGAAAAAAAAACCCAAAAATTGAATTGCAAACAATTAGAAGATAAACGACCAACTTAAAAATATTGGATTTAAATGTGCATACGTATATATATATATATATTATATAATAAATTAATTTGAATTTTTAAAAAATTGGAGATATTGTTTGGACGTATGTCTTGTGGCATCACATGTCTAGGAAGAAGTAATTTGGATTTGGTGGGTTAAAATATAAGAATAAAAATAAGAATAAAAATAAAAATAAAAATAAAAGGGAAAGGGAAACGGAAACGGAAACGGAAAGTCGAAGTGTTTGGCAAGTGGGCACTTACTGGAGCCGTGTACTTTGGACTCTGTCGTGCTCCCCAGCTCACCATCCCATTCCCTTTTATTTTCTTTTTTCATTCAAAATTCACCTTCTAATTTATTTATTTACAAATTTTGTCATTGACTCTTTTCGTTTATGACTTGTGTTTTCATTATTAATTAAATGAATGTAGAAAGCTTATTTTTTTCAGGTACTCTCTCTCTCTCTCTCTCCACTTCCTGATCTGCTTGAACCAGTATTATCTTGTTTGCTTTAAGGGAAAATGAAATTTTCAAAGAAAGAGGAAGTGGGTCCGAGAGATAACCGTGTTAGAACCAAATTTCCACAATCACTAGCTTCACACTCTCGCAAATCCCATTATGCCTTCCACTTTGTCTTCGTTGCATGTTATGTTGTTAGTTTTCTCTCTCTTTCTCTTCCCTCTGGATTCCCAAAAAGCTTGTGGATTATACAGAATATTTAAATACCTTTTTTCTCCGTTGCTTAAAATAAGATTGAGTTCCTCCTCAAAATAAAATTATTTGGCAAATATTGTTATGAGCATCACTTGGTTTTCAGTTCACATTCTCTTTTTCTCCGTGGAATTGACTTTGCTCTTCTTTTTCTTTTCAGTTAGAGATAACCCAGAAAGAACTGAGCAGTCCAGTTGACAAAAAGTTATCTTTGTCGATAATCAATTGCTCCTCCAAGCTGGGCTGCTTCATTTCTTCTCATTCTTTTTTTTGGGGTGGTTTCTGATACCGGATCCATTTCTTCAGGTAACCAAAAGTTTATTGTTGTTTTCTGTTTTTTTTTTTTTTTTTAAATTTACCAACTTTCTTCCCTAATGGGTGTTTGTCTATTTACTAGCTTTTGCAATTATTTATTATTTGGATTTTTGGGCTTGTTTAATTACTTATAGTTTCTGGATTTGTCCTTAAGAGCTGTAGAAACGGGAGAACTAAGGTTACTTTTTTAGTCAAGAGTTTGCCTTTTGTTCATTCTATGAAAATTTTCTTCCTTTTAATCAAAAGTGGCTTTAATGGCTCTGTGGAGATGAGCTGCTGATTAATACAAATTATATATTTTTCTTGACTTGTCCACTTCATTTCCAGCAATTCCTTCCCTATGTAGTTTACTCATTTTTGCTTGTGCTACTTTCCTTGTAAAATTTAATTGATTTTTCTTTTTCTAATAAATGGGTCTTTAGGTCGCTGTTTAATCCATCCTCTGCCATTCTGTTCTTTCCCCACTCTTTAGAAATTGTTTTATTAATTTGCATAAAATTTTGATTCATTTATCCACAAATGGAGAAAATCTTTTATTTTCTGCAGAAATCTGTTTATTTCTCCCTTTCATGCTTATCAACTTTGTTACCAAATTTCATAATATTATTCCTTGATGTTATAGTTGGAACATTACTGTTCTGGAATTCCTTTGCAAAATTTTTATTTAATTTAATGCGGAGAGATTGTAAATTATATTAGTGCGATAAACAACATTTAGAGCAATGCATTCTAAATTTTATTATAACTGATGTATTTTGGAATTTATTATTGTAATTCCAAACAAAATTTTATTATAAATACAACTTTTATCATTTTAGGTAGACTCTTGCCAATATCATCATATAGTTAAATTAATTATAAAATTTGCAAATGAATTTCACATAATTTTAAGATTTCTTGCAAATACAGCTGAAGGGACCTGGATTTCCAGCTTGGCTATTATGTCGGTTGCCGTAAAAAAAGGCATGAAATGATTTGGTTTCCTCAATTGCCTGTTTTCCATTTTCGGATAGGGAAGAGGTTAAATGAAAACCAAGGGTAGTAGAAGGAAGTGCTTGTTATTGGGCGTGGTTCTCAAATCTTAGCAGCAACAGTTGGGTGGATGATTTATTTCTCATGATCATAATGGCCTCCTTCTGGTTTCCTTATGGTTAATGGTACTACAGCAACTAGAATATCTGGAGGTTTCCTCTCTACCATCGTGAAACTTGTGAGTTCTTAGTTTCTTCTGATCGATAAATTCTTCATTCTGTAATTTTTGGATGCTGATCAATCTATATCACTTTTCAGGTTTACTGTGGAATACGATTTGACAGGCTGGTGTCCATGTGATGTGGAATGGGTCTGTTGTCAAAGTGTAAGAATTACGTGGAGAAAGAGGTTGGTACTTGAAGTTCTATTTCTTTGTTTTATTTGATCCGATCATGGCAAAAATGGAGGATACTTTCATAAATGATGATAATGACAGCCATGAGAAAGAAGAAATAGGGAATAGCCCGAGCAAGGGCAGAGAAGTATGCAGAGAAAATTGTCTGAATTGTTCTGAGGTAGATTCTCAAAGATCTCTGAGCAAGCCAGAGCGTTCTCTAATATTAGATTTTAAGAGATTAAAAATTGGTCAAAGTGGTGTGAAGGGTCCATTTGTTCGAGGTACTCTCCTCTTTGATAATAAGATCCCAAAACATGTGGTGACTCTAGATGAGAAGTATCTTCGCCATTGCTTGGAATTGATTCATGTTAGTGCATCAAAATCAGCCCAATGCAGCATCCCTGTAAATTTGGGCTCCATGAATATGGATGTCTCTTCTGATGGCTTGAGCATTACGAAAGTTAGAAATGAAAGCACTTGTGATTTGGATAGGTTTGTTCTTGAATGTCCATTGGTAGGTGGAGCTGGGAACGTAGTCATCAGCTCTACTGGACAATGGCTTATAGGTCCAATTATGGATAGTAAGAGCATGATGCACAAATTGAACAGCTCTTTGGTAAAAGAATTGGGTGAATTAGATATTGGATCTAATTTTGGGACAAGTGGATTGAATGATGTTAAGGACTCCAGATCTTGTGATTTCATGAGCTCTTCTAGTGGGTTAAGTAATTATTCTCTGCAAAAGTTAGAAAAGAAAATACCAAGTCCCAGGAACCATAAACATGAATCTGGGACTCAGCATAGAAGGCTTATTTCCATGTCAAGCACAAACTCTACTTGCTCTTCTGATCATTCGGGTTCTTCTACTTCAACCAGTCTTTATCAAGGAATGCTCCAAAGCACCTGGAAGAATGGTATTCCGCATTTTGTTTTTTCCCTAGATGATCAGAGAGAGGTCTACGTTGCTAGCTTGTATGGGATTGAGTCAGCTGATAATCTGGCATTAGATTTCGCATACTTGTTCCATTTGAGAAAGGGTGGTGGAAGGGACCATGAAACCTATGCTAATGTGTCACGCCTTATTGGTAAGATGGATGTATCAACTTCTTTCACTCTTTGCCCAAACAATTCAAAAATCATGGAGAGAGAGTTTACTTTGTTTAGCAGTGGTGAAAGTTTGGTGGGAGGGACCCAAACTGCATCTCATAACCTTAGGAAGAATAAGGGGTTGTCTAAGAAGGTGGTTAATGCATTCAGGATTAGTCAACCATCCAGGCAGAGAAGCGTCTCAAAATTTGATGGGGCAAGTTCAACATTGGAATGTAGTTGGGAGCCATACCAAGATATAGCTATTGATACTTTAGGTGGAGTCAATCTCTTAGAAAATCATCTTCCACCAAATTTCGAATCAGTTGCCATTGTTGTGGAAGACCATCTCCCTGACAATCGCCAAACTGAAGTTGGAGGCTGGGGCTTGAAATTCCTCACGAAAGCAAATATGAAGCAAACCATCAATACTCTTGAAGACTCTGTGCCTTCTGCTTGTTGTACTCGTGATATTGGTGTTTGCTCAACAAGTCTGGATGTTCTAGTTCCGGCAGGTCTTCATGGTGGGCCAGACCCAAAATGGTGGCCCTTCAAGTCTCATTGAAAGGTGGAAATCAGGTGGATCCTGTGACTGTGGTGGTTGGGATTTGGGGTGCCTGTTGACAATACTAAAAACCAGGTCAAGCAAAGAAGAGGCTTCATCACAAATAGAGATTGAGGAGGAGTGCAAGTCATTTGATTTGTTCATACAGGTACTTCAATCATCCTGTAGCCCTTTTGGTCAACTCCTTCAATTTCTTCTATAAGAACTTATTTGTATTATCCTAATCCTTTTAAAGTTTGATGTTTGACCTTTGTGCACTGTTTTTTTTTCACTTTCATGTTTGGTCTGCATGTAGTTTCACAACTATTTTCTGATCCTCTTTTGCTATTAAGCACACTTTATTATTTGTTTCTCTTCTAATTTATTCTGGTAATAGGGATTCATCTGTCATCTGTACATTGCAAATATATCTTATTTTGGTTGAGGTTGATGACTATGAAGTGACTTACTTCCTACAATTACAAATAGGTGCCTCTAGGTTGAATTCTTGGTGAGCCTCTCCAAAATCTAAGTTTGTCATAAATTCTAGAGAGTGTACTTGGTAAGAGAACTTAAATGTCATAAAGTTACTTCAATGCAGGCTTTGGGTGAGTATTTACACCTATGGTTGTGACTTGGTAAGCAGATAGTTCTGCTTGATCATGGTTGGTTATCTGGGTGGATAGTGAGTAGGCAGATGAGTAGTGGATGGGTTTTGGCTGATGTTTCACCCTATTTCACGTAATTCTTTGCAATTGGCCTTGCTTATGTATTTGAATCTGACTCTGCCTGTGATATGATCCTACAAAGCTTCACACTCTTTTGATGCAAAAGTATTTTCTTGGTTCATAAAATTTCATTTCCATTAACTGTTTTAAGCAATGGTACTTAAATGAAAAATGCAATTACTTTTCAGGGTTCAAAGCACAGTGCTCCTGGGTTGAGGATCGTAAATGTACATGATGATTTGTATTTTATTCATTTTCAATCATCACTATCAGCTCTGCAAGCTTTCTCTATTGCTGTCGCCTATATCCATAGTCAGAATCCAACATTGTGGCCTAAAACTGTACAGGAATTGAAATAGCCAGATTCAGAGTTGAAGTTTCTTCATTAGTTGTAACCTTTTTTCTGTTTACAGTTGTAAGTCAAACATCTACACAGGAACTGAGATGGTTGGTTATTCAATCTTGCTTGTTGCTAGTTTGTCTAGTCTCAGATCAAATTTTTAGGTTAGTTTGTATTGAGAAGGTCATCCTTCAATCCACAGATTAGAAAGAAAGGCTTGTAATATGGTAATTTTTTAATGAATGTATAAGTTTTTGATGAAGTGATTTTGGCACCAAACAATTTCACAGAAATTGGTATGTTCTAAGATTGGACTTACTGTGATATGTTTCAGATCAATGAGATCTGGAATTCAGACATGAGAAGAATCAAGTTGCGAACATCCATTTCTGAAAGATTTCATGACGCATGTGATCAGATATGGTTTTCCACAAGGGGGAAAAAATGTTATTTCTATTACTTTTTAGATTTATATGTACAAAAGGATACAAGTTGGATGCTCTTTCTGTACTTGGGGAGTTTTTTCTGTGAAATATTGTGCTTGGTGAATGGTTCATATGGAATTCCTGATTAGGTAAGGGTTGAAATATTGTAAGTCCAGTTTATTGGTTTCAACCAACCAGGGGTGTGCTTTCGATGTGAACTAAATATCAATTTTCTATAGTTTGTCAAGGTTTCAGACCATCAAATCAGTCAACAATCTTTTCGGATGATACCAGCTAGGATCTGTTGCGCTTCATGCAAATACGTGATTCCCCTTGTTGTTCAATCCTCTCTAATTGCTGGCACAGTTGGAGAGGGAGGGCAGGAGGTACTTTTCATATCCAAACTTCCTTTTTTTGTCTTCGTCTTCATTGCATCCTATAACATACTTCGGAAGCAATGGAGAAGGCTAATCTGCATTTAGCTGGATTTAAATCTTAATCATAAATCTGTATTCTCAGTCAGCTTCTACTTCCCAGGTAAAACAGTGCCGATATACAAACTAGTCGACACTAGTTTGTTTATCTTGCCATATTATCAGGTAAGTTACATCATTAAAAATTTTTAAGTTCTTAAGCACGGATGCTTTCTTTTACCCCCTTTGTCTTGGAATAATTTTGGAAAATCCTTTGATTAAGGGAAGTTGCTTTAATATAGGATCAATTCTCTGTCATACACTGGCAGTAGGATTGGAGACTCAGGGCAACCTTTGCTTGTTGTAAGACATGCATTGAATAGATCAGTATGGGATATGTTTTCATGTTACGATTGGAACGAATGAAGTTCATTTGAAAATTTGCATTTAGTTCAACTGATGGAGGATGAAAATTTTTAGAAGAAGATAAAAATTGAACTAAAGGAATTTCAAGTGCAACTGAATCAACGCATGCCAAATTCATTAAGTGGAGAAATTTTGAGTGCATTATTTTAATTTGACTTCAAATTTTTTATGATAGTAAAATTTTATCATCTTCTAGTTGAACTAGTTATGTGTTTCCAAGCCAATTATGTTGAAGCAGTTCATTTTAAAGATATAAATATCACAGATACTTAATCGGTTAATAAGCTCATTACAGAGTTCGAATTTGTATGTTCATGATATAGTTCTAGCTGCTTCCTCGACTCCCCTTGAGACTTTTTTGACAGATTTGAAGAAAGAATTCTTAATGACCGATCTTTGGCCTAACTATAATTTTCTTGGTGTCAAAGTCACTCCAAAAGATAATTGCTGGACCAACTGGACTATGCTGAAGAACTTTTACAACACAGGGGATTTGGAAATTATAAACCAATCTCTACTTTGGCATTCTCTCGTGGACAAGTTGGTAAAAAAAATATATTCCTCTGTGTCATGATCCTACTCATTATTCGAGTATTGCCGGGTCTTTTTTGAATTTCAACTTTCACAAGACCAGAGACACATATTATCAGGCTGCAAAGAGGATAGTTGGATACAATTAAGGTACTCTATACTATTGTCTCCAGTTTTCTTATGCTTCTCTTTTAATCTTATTGATTATTTTGGTAAGTAACAGGCTTGTTGTCTGGATGCTTTTGGTTCCACCATGAGGTACTGTCTTCTTTGGTTCCAATTTAATAACTTGAATTGTCACAAAACAAACCACCACTTCTCGTTCTGGAGCTGTGAGGCTAAATACAGAGCTGTCGCTGTCGTTGTTTTTGATTTATGTAAAAAAAGAATTTTTCAAAGGAAAATATATTGTTCTTCCTTTGAATACTCTGGTTGTCCGTTGTGATAGTGTCAACACTATCTCTATGGCATATAATCCTATCCTATATGTCCAATCTAAACATATGGAACACAATATTCATTTCATTGTGGAAAATCTTTGATGGGAAAGCACTTATTGTTTGTTAAATTCCTAATCAAGATCAACTGGCAGATATTTTCACTAAAGATCTACTGCAAATTGAGTTTTTGATCTCAGGTCCAATTTGTATCTTGCTTCTCATAACTTGCCGGGAGTAAAGAGAAACATCACAGATATTTAGTTGAGGCATTCTCGTAGCAACAGGTGTAGCTGAGATTGTTGGTTAGTAAGTCCATATCTAGTCTGTATTGTGGCTTTAGGGAAATTTTTAGTTTGAGGAGGAAACCCTTTTTCCCATCAACTCATGTAATCCTACATATTTTAGGCTTCTAAATTTCTAGTACTTAAAAATGGCATAGCTGAGATTGTTTGTAGCTTCTGCTATCATCTTTTAGTATACAGATGCATGCTAAGTTGAGGTATTGTTGAAGCAAAAGGTCTTGTCAAGCTCATAAGACGGCTACTCTATTGAATAGTCCCCAGACATTTTTAAGTAAATTAGGCTGTGGTTGTTGTTGCGGGTTTCTGACATTGTTATAGTAGTACGCTGGGACATGTTATCTTTAGCTGGATTTGGGTGGCTAAATGAACCCTTTCTCTCCATCATTCCGGTGCAGGAATGACTTCTACGACCCAGGTTCTCAATTTGTGCGGGTGGCATCAAAATTGTGAGTTACAACATAGACTTTCTCGTGATTAGCTGTGAGGTTTAATTGATCAGTTTTCAGTTTGCTTTTCTTGGTAATGAGATCTGACATGAATGTTGAATTTTGTTTCTAATTTTGAAACATGTTGAGTATATTTTCCTGCTGAGTTTGTTCCCGTTCCATTGTTTTCAGGATTTTTGAGTTTGGTACACAACAGAGCAGGTAACTTCTGAAGTGATAATTCTCCGAAGATGCTGATCCAGTGCTTGTAGGAAGGATGGGTCTGTTAAAGAGAGTGTATTATTATTTTTGGAATTGCCAAGTTCATCATCTCTGTAAATTTAACTTGGGACTTTTAGGTTTTGTTCTAAATCTGTTGGTGGGGACTTGGCTATTCTATTTTGATGACTTTGAGCTTGATCTGTGATTCCAATGAATTAAGTGGTGTCTACACTTCGACTTTGAAAAACATTATGATTGAAATGTAAAGTTATGAAAATCGTATGGTAGTAAATGTTACTTGCAAATTATAGTTAAAATATTAAGTTTACACTGAAAAATGTGAAAGAAATAATTATTATTATTTATATTATCATATTAATCATATTTTTTATATTTTAAGATTTTGAATAAATAATATTTTTAAAATTTTATCTCTATATAATTTACATAATTATAACTGTCACATTAATTTTATTTTTATATTTAAAAATTTAAATTAATAATATTCAAAATTTTATCTGTATACAATATATATTCATAATTAATATTAACATATTATTTTAAAAATAAAAATATTATATGACATCTTTTGCTACACATATATGTATTATTATTATTATTATTATTATTATTAATTCAAAATCAATTGTAAAATTCAACGTACTAAAAGTATGTCAAAGTCCAGGTATAACAGAAATAAGGCGGCGGCCCAGATTTATGGAAGGTCTATGGAGAAGCGGGCCCAGTAGGATATATGCGGTATATTATGAAACGATGATGGTGTTTATTGCCATATAGTTTAATATCTTCCAGTAAACCCCATAACCCTAGGCAGCCGTCTATAAGTAGAGAAAAACCCTAAACGTTGCATTCCGGGTTTCTCTTCAGCAGTCAAAAATGTCGAAGCGAGGTTAGTTTGTTTCTATGTTTTCTCTATTTCGTTTCTCGCATTCTGAAATCTAGGTTTCTGTCTTAATTTTGGTTCTCTTCTCTAGAAAGTAAAGTAAATAATGCGTGGAAATTTCAGATCTCTTGACTGTCCGGTTTGTAGTTAGATCTCTAAAAGCTTAGTCGTCTAACACGATCAGTTTGGTTCAGTTGTATATGCCGCTACTCCTTTTATTTATTCTTGTTGTTTAAGTTTCACATTTGATCAATCAGAGAGTTATGTTATATTTGGATATGATTGTAGAGTGGGTCATCCTTTTGGTTGAAGGAACGAAATGGACATGCTTATTTGAGTTTAAAGGTTATAGTGCCGAAGTCTTATTAATTATTTGTGCTCTCTTTATCGAATCAACTTTTGTTTTCTATGTGAACACTCCGGGAATTTTGTGAGCCTTTCTACCTGTAGTTTTTTTTTAAATGATTCTTTTATTTCAATTATGGAACCTGAAGATAATATATTACCAATAAAGATTTCTTGTTTAGCGTCTAATAACATATTTTGGGAAGATAAGACTCAAAGTCCTGGAGCATATATATCTTTAACTGAATATGTTAGTTGGAGATTGAATCACTTTTTTAGTAGACCTACTTAAAAAACGAAGAAACTATCTTCATGCATGTGGTTCCCTTCTGAGAACTGAGATATGTTTAACATTGTTTAGCATAGTTAATAATTGGTAAGTTTTTAATTTTTTTCTTATTTTCTTAGGACGCGGTGGATCTGCTGGTAACAAGTTCAGGATGTCACTGGGTCTGCCAGTGGCAGCCACTGTAAATTGTGCTGATAACACTGGTGCAAAGAATCTGTACATCATTTCAGTTAAAGGTATCAAGGGTCGTCTGAACAGATTGCCTTCTGCTTGTGTTGGTGATATGGTGATGGCAACTGTCAAGAAGGGAAAGCCTGATCTCAGGAAGAAGGTGTTGCCTGCTGTCATTGTGAGGCAGCGCAAGCCATGGCGCAGAAAGGATGGCGTCTACATGTACTTTGAAGGTCTATTCTAAATGTCCAATCTTTTATTCTCTTAAAGAGGCATTGCTGCTGTTAAAATGTCATGAATAGTTTTGTTTGTTAACTTATGATTTTGAATTATATCTTTCCATTCTTCATGGTTTTATGATTGGTGTTTGATTCTTTCTTCATATCCTGCTGTCTTGGGTATCTGGTGCACTGAAATTACTTGTCAAATGATGTCATGTTTTAAAAATTTGCCCTTGTGTCTTGTGGTTATATATTCATGCTGTTCTTTACCATTTACATTAATATGATCTTTCTAACAATAACCTTGAATGTTTGTGATTTGCTTTTCTTAGCATGTTACGGAATTGGTTAGTGTCATGCAACTAGTTGTGGCTGGTTAAGCTGTGTCATTATGTGTGCATATTCCTGTAATTTTGTGGGTTTGTGTCTGCACTGTGATTTGATGCTTTTTGAGACCAGCTAAATTATGGTCGAAATTATCTATCAAGTGAGATCTTGATATGCTGGCAATGCATTTTTCCCAATATTTTATTTCTTACTTTTTCTTTAAACAGTGGTCCTTGATATGCTGGTGATGTAGTGTGGATGATTTTTATTTGAGGTTCTTCTGCACGTCCCATACCCAGCTAGAGTGATATTACCAACTTTCCCTTCGTCGGATGTTAACTAATGTTACCATTCCTGTCACGGTTGGGATATTTCACTTTTTGGAGAATATTAAATGTAGCTTCCTTATTCACATAAGTTGATGTAGTGCTGTTTCCAAACTAACCTTATTTATGATTGTACTTGTGTTACCATTCTTGTCAGGTTGCAAAGCTTTGGTGTTGTTCAGCCTTGCTTGTCCTTCACCCATCTCCTTACATAAATATGTAATTTGTCATGTTCATAGTTGGCCTAACATTGATCAGAATGGTTAGAGATTTTGATTTTTTTAGCATGATTTAGGTCTTTGAAAATCTGTTTGTCTGACCAGACATTAGTCAGGTGTCCACCTCAATATTTAGTGGTTGATACTGTTACAAGTCTGGAACAGTGAATGTGTCCATCGTTACAGGTGTGTTTTTGCTTTTTGTGCTCACATCTGCTCCATTAGGACCCTACATTTCTGCTAGTCTATTAGTTTCAGTGATTGTGTTGTCTATTTCTTCGTGCACAGGTCCCCATCTCAGAACCTGAAGGAGATGGGAGAAGATGCCTATCCTTGTTTTGCTTTTATCTGTTCTGTTGCAATCAGTTATTTCTGATAAGTGTGATTGATGTTCATTAATTTATTGGTACTAAATATATATGGAAGGGACAATTGCTGACACTCCAAGGTAAAGTCAATAAAGTCTCTAACAGAATTTTTAATTTGATGTTACAGATAATGCTGGTGTTATCGTAAACCCAAAGGGAGAAATGAAAGGTATGTCTCATGCAAAATACTTATCACTATGCACTCAGTTATTGGTTTTTTAATTCTAGATTGCAGTCAATTGTACAGGATGAAGTCTTTTCCTTGTTGCTTTGCCAAATGCTCTTTATTCGTTGTTTTAGGTTCTGCCATCACTGGCCCTATTGGAAAGGAGTGTGCAGATCTGTGGCCTAGGATTGCAAGTGCAGCCAATGCAATTGTTTGAGATTGTTCTTCTCCTTTTTTGAGTTCAGCAAGTTGTTAGCGCTTCTTAATTCACATTTAGACGTAGTTCATCTACCATGAATATTGGAATACTGCTTGGAGGTTTTGATTATGAGGATATTCATTTTTGGTTAATGGTTTTGATGTCAGAATTTGAAGATCATATGGTTAATAGAATTGAACTTTATGGTTGTGGAAGTGGCAAGGAGATGAATTAGTTAAATTGAAATGGTTTTTGATTTGTTTACCTTTTGCTCGTCTTTGTAAGGGTTGATCCCTTGTGCCATTTTTGGACGAGCCAATTCCCAATAGCAGTTGGTGGGATTCCTCCAAGTGTTAAGACAATAAGGTCCTAGCTATCTTACAAGTACTCAGTGAATAATTATAATAATGTATTGTGGGTGCGAATAATTGTAATTGTAATCGTATGCCTTAAACCCATGTCCTAAATAGAAGACTTTATTCAGTCTAGAGGGTAGAGACCATGAAGTTCAGCGGAAACTAATACAGATGATGAATGCTGCTGATGAATATCCAAAACGAAGTTGTTAAGTTACTAAAATCTGCTGGGGGCGTACCACCCCCAAAGATGAATACTGATGATGAATATCCAAAACGAAGTTGTTGAAGTTACTAAAATCTGCTGGGGGCATGCCTCCAGATTGGGGGAAGCTGCTGTAGGAGCAAGCCATAAGTAGACTTAAGTAATTAGGCGGTCTTCTCCTTGTCATTGTTCAGTTTGGCAGAGTATTCAGACAAGCTTTGCCAATCTGCAGTCATTCAAATATCAATGCCCATAATCTCTGTTGATTTTTTGTTAATGGAGCACACTAAAACTGGAAGCAAAATTTCAAGATAAAACCGACTAGCTAGAGAAGTCGATTTGGAAATGAAAACAGGGTACCCATCTGGCTTTTCGCATGCTTGATATTCTAAAATTCCAAGAGCATTTCCAGCAACGAACCCTTCGCTTTCTTCCATCAGCTAGCTGGGTTGTGCGGGAGAACTAATGGGTGAAGATAATGATTACAAAATGGGCTTGGAAGTCCAATTTGGGCCAGGCTACAAATTTAAATCTTTTCTGGTGAGTTTACTCCTTTTTTTTTATATGTTTTGTTTTGCTTTTTTATTATTTTTCTTTAGAGTCATTATTTGAATTAAACAATTGAGTGGTTATTTGAGTGTTGAAAAAGCATCATTAGCTAATATAATGGAATTAAATTTGATCTTAACTCGTAGTTAAGAAAGACATTTTATACCCATTGATCTGAGTATAAAGCACTTAATTTCTTACATGCAAAATAATTTTTAGGGAGGTTTAAACACAAAAAAAAGTAGAAATTATTTATACCCATTGATTTTTTCATAATAAAAAACACACATTCAACTAATTACTCTAAATTTTAACTACTACAACTTATACACGCAAGGTGATTGCTTTACACTTTTATACATTAAATTAATATATAAATTTTATTTTTTATATATTAATTTTATAATGAATAAAATTAATAATAATAAAAATTTAAAATTATAAATAGATAATAATAATTTTTAAATTATACGTTAAATATTTTCTATTTGCATTGATTTTAAAAATTATTTTTATTTTTATTTACAGTACAACACGCATATTCTTTCAACTACAAAATTTTTCAAATATAATTTTTTTTTATTTAATACGAACATAATCTTCCATTCAATTTTAATTACTTATACTTTAAAATCCCATCACTTACCTCTCAAAGGGAAGCCTAAATCAATTATTATTATTATTATTTTTTTTTAATACAAAAAGAGAATACATATTCAGTTACCCCAAAAAAGGGCAAGTACATATATAAAATTATATTTCTTTCATAAAAGCACTTTTGCAGAGAAAGAAGTAGAACGGCAGAACAGTTCCTTTCCTACCAAACTACGAATTTATTTACTGGGGTAAACACCTGAAACACTAATTAAACTGTACTAATTTTGAGTTGACCCAGGACTGCCCGACTCCCATACATTACAAATATATATATACATACACACACAAACACATATATAATAGAGGACGCAAGCTGGTATTTAGCCCATTTTATCTTCATCACCATATTGCATTTTGGCACAATACTCAAACAAACTACCATCAAAACATCTCCTCACTGCTTCCTTTGACAGCATTCCCTCCTCATCCCTTGCAAGCATGTATAATACACCCCACTCCAACTTGCTTGCAACCCTAATTCAGAAATTCCCAACAACAAAGTTAAATCAACTTTATAATAATCCCGCAATGCAATTCAATCCATAAATGTAAATTACACTGAACAAACCAGCCAAAGATGTCGAAGGCCACTCGACTTCCCTCCGTCATGTTCCATAGTTCTCCTAGAGTCAACTTGTCTGGCACGGTATGTGCATATTTGCTAAACATGTTCTCAAGATTGGCCGGTGTATACCTGCAACTCCTCCCATGTTTATATTAATAATATTAACACATGTTTGTCCCATAAACTTCGCTGGTAAAAGTACTAAGTTCGTATGTATTTACCTTCCTTCGGTGTCATAAACGTTGGAGTCACTTCCGTGCTTCGCTTTGTGTATGTTGTGTATGTATATAGGGAAAAAAGGGGAAGGTATCCACCCCTATAAACTCAACCAAAACCCAATACTTTTCACATCATCTATCAAGAAATCTAAGTTAAAAATATTAGAGATCATGTATACTTACAGGGAGAGTGGCATAGCTCAATGCCATGTTGATAACAGTGGCCATGATAAGAGAGGCAAGTACGTTGAAACCAATTAAGCGTAACCCTGAGAAAAAAATTACTTAAAATCTATATACAATTGAACTTCAACGACTAAAAAAATTAAAGGGATTTACAGGTCGAGATAATGATATATTTATATACCCGTGAATGTCTCCCAAGGGTAAACAATGCCATTATCATCTTGGTCGAAGAAGGCAACATGCTGTTGAAGGACACTCAAACCCTCATGCCTGTGGCCTGGTGTTCCAGTTGGATGGTCCCTGTCAGGAGCTTGCAACGCTCTTGGCATATCTAGTTAGATGAACACCAAAACAATTTACCTTATATTCGCCTTTTCAAGTCTTTGGAAAAAAAAAAAAAAATCCTTAATTTAGGACATAAAAAAACCCACTAAGACTATGTTTGAAGCCAATGACCAATTCACATTTAACTTTGAGATAATAACTTCCAAACCATAAAGATTGATCTTCTGAAAACGTTTTTACAATTACTGCCATAATATATTTCAATTTCATTGGAATAATCTCATTAAAAAAAAAAATCAACATTTCATAATTAAACTAGCATAACTTTCACATGAATTCCAACAAATAGAATTTAGTTACATGTCTAAGCTCTCCATACGTATTCTATTCTAGTTAAGTAGAATTTCTAATATTGCAATTCTTACTCCGAATACTGAAACAGATATAAAAATTTTTGTCGTAGCGATGACATATTAACCTTCTAAACAGTATAACATTTTTAGAAAATTAAAAAAAAAAGTGTATGACAATGTCACATTGTTGTATCTCTACCACCTCCATATACACTATACACTACAAGAGTCAAGCAATTGTAGGTCAAGCAATCACTAATGACATACCCTGTTCCAATCAAAATTTAATTATGTTCTTATTTCAGGGTTTAGGTGCACAAGAGTATAAAAAGTCTTGTAATTAGTATCTAAACATAATCGTTAACATTGTAATTTAATATTGTAATACAACCATGATAGCACCTTCTAATTCATAAAAAAAATATAATATTCGCAGTTACATTCTTCAACCCATATGATTTTCTAATTATGAGTGTAAATATACTTAATTAGATATTCAGAAATTTTTTAAACTAAAAAATGCCTCTAGATATCCAAAACTTCAAAAAATGTTCGAAGCCTAGGTACTAAAAAGTCCATAAACACTCTTGAGTATTCGAAGAAATCCGAACATCCCCTAATCACTATATATATATATATATATATATATAGGTATAGAGATAGAGGTAGAAAGACTTACAAGGTTTTGGGAGGTGATCTTCCAAATTATCTTTTATAACAGGTCTGTCGTAAGTGACAGGTGCATAAGGAGCCTCTGTAGCTAATGCATCTCTCTCCTCTACCACCTCCATTGCTGTTTCTCCCTCTCTATCTCCGATTTTTCTTTTCATCTAATTTTCAGAACATTCCAATATGTACTTACATATGCACATACAGCTTCCATCTCTTTGATCTACTACATATTTTGTCGCTAAATATAAAAGTAAAACCAATCTTCTTTCTTGGGTTCCTTCGTGGCAGCCATGCAAAGCGTGAGGCTTGAAGCTGGCATGCGGTGGAATCACCACCTGCCCTTACGTGAGTATTTTACTCACGTTTTCCGCTTCTTGTGCATATAAACTAAGGAAAATAATTAATTTCTTGTTTTTGTAGAAGATTAATTATCATTCTTATTAATTAAGGTGTTGTAGAAATTTTTTTTTTCTCGCCATTAATTTGAAAAATTAATTATTCTCTACCAAATCTAATTTCCAGTCAAAAATCTGACCCGACTTAATTTGTGTATATTAAATTAAAATAGTATTATACGCATATATTAATATATACTATTTAATTGAAAAATATATTATATATAATTAAGTTGGGTTGAGATGAATAATCTAATGATGGGCCTAAATTACCCAATTTTTGGCCCACTAAAATAAATTCCTTAAAATGGGCCGACAGAAAGCTAATATAGAACGTTCTCTCCTTTCTCACTCGACAGTTCTGAGACAGAAAACACGTAAACAAAAGGAAAGCGTAATGGCGAGTGAGGTAGCGATGGAGGGGAGCACCGTAGCGGCGGCGGGGACAACAGATGCACCCGTTCCAACAGATAAGCAGCCCCATAAGCTCGATAAGAAGTGGACTTTCTGGTTCGATAACCAATCTAAGAAACATGGCGCCGCTTGGGGCTCCTCTCTCCGTAAAGTTTTTACCTTTGACACCGTCGAAGAATTCTGGAGGTTTGCTACGCACCCTCCTTCTCCTCCTCCTCTTTGTGTTCATAACTCTATCATTCTGTATTTATGTAATTTGTTTAGTGTGTATGCAATTTGATCTGTTAGGTACTTAGGTTTCTTCTTGATTTTTTTTTTCCGATCTGTTCGCTGCTCTCTATTTTTTATTCGTTAATAATTCCTTTATCTTCAGATATTTATTAAATTACATCTTTCTGCGTTTTTTTTTATAATTCCATTTTAGTAACTGGAACTTTTTAAGTTGGTGGTATGTTAATGTTCTTGGCATTCCATGTTTCTTTCCTTTTTAGTTGCCTGGAGCGTCCTTGCAAAATTAAATGCCTTAGGGTGTCTTTAAATAAATGAATTCCACCAAAAAAATTGTGAATTTTCGTTATAGTCATAATTTTTTTAGTTAGAGGTGTTCTAAATATGAAGATTTTAGTTTCAATTTAATTTTAAGTTGACTTGAAATAATGAATTTCAGATTTTATTGAAATTGATAGAAGTTGAAAACTAATTATGGCCGGTTGAAAGGAAAGCAGCTATGAACATATACTTCAAATACAAACAGAATTATACAATACCAGTATACCACCAATTCACTACTATGTTATAAAATATCTTACAAAATGGTTTCTTACAAAATATAAGAAGTCATATATAAATCATTTCCTTATAGAATTCATTTGAAAATAAAATAAATTTTGTTGTTTCATTTTCTCCAAACGTGGCCTTATTTCTGTTTCTCACATTGTTATGAATCTGTAACTATCATCAATTGAATGAGTGGTTGATAGTGGGCATTGCTCATTATTTTGTCTAGCCATCTCTGGGCTGATTGGTTGAAAAGGTGCAGCTTAAATGTCTTACTTTTGTTGTCTACTAACCTGCATTCTGGTCATGCTTTGACAAGTTTTCGTATATTCCTCTTTATAAACACTTCTTTTGAAGAGAAATCTAAATTAGACTTGCTTAATCTAACAGGGTAATCTCTCTTTATATAATTGATATTCTGCAGTTTGTACGAAAATATATTCAAGCCCAGCAAGTTGCTTTCAAATGCTGACTTCCACTTGTTCAAAGCTGGAGTTGAGCCCAAATGGGAGGATCCTGAGTGCGCTAATGGGGGGAAATGGACTGTTATCTGTAGCAGAAAGGCAATCCTTGATATCATGTGGCTTGAAACTGTAAAATTCTTTACCTGTCTGATTATTTTGTTTCTGTAAAAAATTAATGTGCAAAATGCAAGTTCTTGGTCTTACTTCCGCGATAACTAATGTCCATTTTTAATGATTTATGAATTCTCTTCATTTGGGTAGTTGATGGCTTTAATTGGAGAGCAATTTGATGAGGCAGACGAAATTTGTGGTGTGGTTGCTAGCGTACGCCAGCAAAGGCAGGACAAAATCTCATTGTGGACTAAGACAGCAGCAAATGAGGCTGCGCAGGTCTAATTTCTTACTAATTTGATACCTGGTACTGAAGTTTGTTGTTTAATACGAGCATTTTTTTAAATCCTAGAAGTTATTCCAATCTGCAAAGCTAACTCAATTTTGATCCCTTGAAACTGTTGATTTTTATTAGAGGCAAACCTGGATAACTACTAGGTTCTTCCTGGCCTTGATTTGACATTTTGATATCTGGAAGCTATATGCTTGTTGATTTCCGAATTGTAGATTACATGTTCTAATATGGTACTTTTGCCCCTCCCCCTACTGTGCATGGAAATGCTGGTGGAAATTTTAAGAGAAGCAAATCCTAAAGAAGCCATTGTTGAAAATTTTTATAACACAGGATTAAATGAGAAGGGAGCTTTTGTGTGAGCTTTAGTTATGATGAAAATTTCAGATAAATACAAAAGGATCCTACAAGGGAGTGACTGTGTGTTTTGTGGTTATGTTGATGGAAAGATTTATACTTACCAACTTATGAAGGTCTTGAACCAGTTTGACATATAGGACTCAAAACCTCTGCCGATGAGCTCTTCAGCTGCTTTTTTAGAGGGATTATGGATTTTTGTTTCCAGGGACATCTAAGATCTCAATGCTATAACTAGTCTTTGTTGCTTTACTTATCCAAATAGATTTTACCGGTTTTGTTTGTTGTAATTTTAAAACTAAGGGTTCTAAGTTGTGGGTTGAGAAAGAGAGTGGGTTATTTATTTGATTTTTAGTCACCAGAAACACTGACAATAAAGCAATAGTCTTCAAATCCCCCAAAAAGAAGATTGATTTATATTGACAAATAATTTGATGTTTAAATGAGTAAATTGATATTTCCTCTGTTAATTTGCTTGTATATCATTGCTCCAACTAGTTTTGGGTTGCTGACATTTGGGAAGCTAATCTCTATGCCAGTGCTATTACTTCTGATTCCCTGATGCAAATGGTGTCATTATATTATTTATATTTTCGTAAATGCACAACATCGGACGCCTTCAGTATGTCTGTCTCTTGCTTCTAAATATTACCTGGTACCCACTTGAATCCTCAGACATTTGTATGAACCATGTTGTGCAGATGAGTATTGGGAGGAAATGGAAGGAGATCCTCAATATCACCGATCAGATCACTTACAGCTTCCATGTAATTTTTCATTTTTAAGGGTTTTGTTGATTATGGGTCTGTTGCCTCTTGCTTTGCTTCTCATATTCTCATTATTCGGTGTATTTCAGGATGATTCTAGAAGGGAAAGATCTGGAAAGCAAAAAAGTCGATACAATGTGTAACCTCCGGGTAATTTCGTGTGGCAAGTTGTAGGGAGGAGCAAGAACTTGGTTGAGAAGGAATCAATTAGCTCGATTTTGTGATCTGTTTGCCCTAGATGCCCAGATAATCAAAATATTTTTTTGCATTTAAAATGATGTTTGGATGTAACACTATAATCTTACAAAATCAGCACATTCATAGATTTTTAGCAGTTGCATTATATTTTATTTCAGCCTTTTGCTTTTACTTCACTGAGTCATCTAAAGTCGGCAACTTTCTACTTAGAACTCTGCATTTTGCTGTAAGGTTGATTCTGAATCCCATTTGTTTATGAGACAATTCACTTGTCATATATGTTACTCATAGCTTGTCAGCTGTTACTGTTGGTATTGAGAGCTTCCCAGGCTGTTAAAATAATTTTTTAGTAAAATATTTTCATTAAATAATAATGAAAGTAATTCTAAAAAGTGTTATTATTTTGAATAACTGTTTCTTACTAAGTAAGTATTAATTAAATTATTTGTTTTTTAATCTTAAAAGATGCATCTCTTCGTTCCTCTCCTCATTCTCCTCAAACTTCATTGTATGATGCCATCTTCTCTGGTTCTCCAGCCTACTACTGAGCATCTCCACCAGAAGATGAGTTCTTCGGGTTATAAGTACTTGCCATCAGGATTATGGGAATCTCTCCAGCCTCCATAACATTTTGATGCCTCTCCTATTGGTCTCCTTTTTGCTCGCTATTTTACACGAAGGCTGTGTCTTTTCTAGCTCCACTGTATTATTGTCGCATTGGTGATGGTGAAGAATCTATCTTTTGTAACTTAAACACAGTTTCCATCTCTTAGAGACGTTGGGCGGTGCAAAATGGATTTTCATTACAGGCAACAAGACATCCATAGGAACACCCTAATCGGGTTAGGGTTTCAAGGAAGAAGAACTAAAATCAGTTTATGTGTTTTTATATGTTGAAAGTAGATTTTAATTTTTGTTCAAATAGGATTTTTATTATTTAGTATTTTGATCTAAAGTACTTGACATTACAAAATCTGTAGCTAAAAATTTGGTCATCTTTGTCCCTCCAATTTTCTTTCATTTTTCTCGTCTACATTTGAGACTAAATTTAGAACAAAGTACTGAATTTTGAATTGGAATTTTAATTTTTCAGATTAGAATTCAAATTTGAATTATATATATATATATATTGTAGAAATTAAGATGCCTAAAATGAAATAATATTTTTTTAAAAAAAAATTGTTGAAAAAATATTTATATATGTATCATGTTTTATTATAGAAAACTAAAAATTATTGGAAATATGTAAGATAGCTTAGAAGAATAGAGAAACTTAAAATAGAAAAATAAACAAATTATTGGGAGTATAAAATTAAATTATCTATTCTCTGCCTCTTATTTCTCCTCTGGTTTTGATAATGGCGTCGTATGTGTAACTGCCATCCCTTTAAGGCTAAGAAAAAAATGAAACATCTCCAAACATTTTTTCATAAATCCTACAGACTACACAGAAATTATCCAGAAAAAAAGAGAACGATTCCGTAAGCTCAACTTGTTGGTGAAATATATGAACATATTATCTTTCTAATGTTTACTTGAATGATATGAAGAAGAAATGTTACAGGTAGGAGTGAAGATGAACAAAAAAGCTAGTGAGTATTGCAGAGAAGACATTAATGTAGGGAGATGAAGGAACCTATAAGTAATCTCAACTCAAGCAAGGAAGCCAAGCTTTTCTCCATTCTTCTTAGCCAACCGAATTAGTCCTTGCCTCTGCTTTGCGTCTGCCCCTATTGACTTGCAGAACTCGGTAATCACCTTCGAACCATCGATACCACCAATTCAAATTCCAATTCGAAGTTAATAATTTAAATAGAACAGATTTCAAAGGAGTAAAATTAATTACTCAGTTGTTTATTGCGACTGGTTGTACCTGAGAGTGTAAGGCAATTGCTTTGCCTCTGAGCTGATTGAACCTCTTCTTGCCGATTAAATTCCTCGCAACAACAACAATAGGAGCGAAAACGCCTCTACCTTCATTGATATTCTTCATCATCGGCCGTGATCTTACTGGTTTTGCAACCCTAACACTCGGCACTGCTTTTACCAAAACTCCATGCTCCTCGCCGATAATACCACTGCCCCATCCCCCGTAAAATGAAGTGCCTAAACCTCCCTTAAACCCGCTTGCACAAATTGAAGTAGCCATTGAGCTAATTCTGTAGCTTCCGGACTCAAACTGAGGTTGTTTTCTGAGTCAATCTGCTTCTCTGGGATTGTGAAGAAGAAGAAAAGAAGAGGAAGAAGAAGATGTTCTGGTGTAAATTGGAGAGCCTTTGGTTTTTCTACTGGAGACAAGAGGTGGAGGCACATCAACCACACACTACTGGTGGCTTGAATTTTCTTTTTAAGGACACGTATGTTCGTCTACAAAATCTTCATCTGGAATATTACTGGCTCTTTGCTCTTCATGGGCCCCACCTCACTCAAAAATCTCCCTCTCAACAATTTTTCCCATTTCCTTAAAAACAAATAAAAAAAAAAAACCAAAATTTTCCAAAAAATAAATTTAATTTCATCTTTTCCGTCTAATATAAATAATTTTAGTAAATCGCACCCACAAAATTAATCACGAACCAAGTCATAAGTCTTAATTAAAATTTAATTTTTAGTTATATATTTAATTTTTTAATATCAATTAAGAGCGAAATTAAGAACAAAGATCATATCGTTTTAAATTTAATAATATTCGTTCCATGTATTTTTAACTAAAAATTTATCAAAATTCTTTTTTGTCGGCTCTAGAATGAACGGAATTTTTTAATTTATTAACTAAAAATTTAATAAAAAATAAAAATAAAAGTAAACTTACAATTTTATTTTTAAAATTTTTAATCCAAAGAAAATAGTGTGTGAACTAAAAAAAAGATGAAATAATATTTAATTTTGTTTAATATGGACCGAATAATTTAATTTAATATAATTTTTTTAATTCATATGAAAATTAAATATGAATATAAATAAAAATTATTTATTAAATTATTATAATCTATTCTTAAATATAGTAAGTAAAAATTTATAATTAATAAGATAATACGAATATAGTATAGAATTATAAATATAAAATAGGTATGAGATAGATGTAGAGTTATAAACCATACATTTTATTATATATTTTTGATAGCACATATAAAATTAAAAAATATATAAATCGGTATGAGATCAGTACTAATAAAGTTATAAATTCGAATTATGTATTTATTAGTTTCCAAAATAAAATAAATATGAAATAAGTATAGAGTATAAAATTATATATTTTATTTCTATGTTTTTTATTTTATTTTTACATAAATAAAACAATATAGTAGATTATATATTGTTTGGATTAACTTTTATATATAATAGATAATAAATTATATATTATTCGGCTTTTTAGTTAAATTTTAATTAATTATTTAAATATCTTATAGTTTTATTAAACTAAAAAAAATAAAATATGTTGGGTAGAAAACTGAGGAATAAATAATTTCCTACGGCCTAGATATAAATTTATTTTTTATTATCGAACCGAACCGAACCGATGTTAGCTTCGAAGTCACCATTCAAAACTAGGTGCCGTTCATAAATAAAATAATGAGAATGTGTATCAGTCTCTCCCAACTTGAAATGGTCAAAACACAACCACCTCTTGCGAAACGAAAACGAAAACGAAGAAATCAATATCGCAGAAAGCAGATGAACGCTTGGAATTGACGCAGATAAAGAAAAACATGTAATGGCATCACTCGCAACCCATTTTGCTGCATTCCTCTTCCTCTTCCCATAGGCGTACGCCGGATTCTTTGTTCCTCCTCTCTCTATCTCAAAATCCCACTCTCTATCGATCAAAACCTTGGTATTTCTCCGATTCCAAGATGAAGAACCTCGACTTGTACCTCCTGTTTATAGCGCTACCCATCGCCTCATTCTCTGAGTTGTTCTTCTTCTGGTCGTTCTCGGGTCACCCGACTTACCAATTTTCCTTCTTCCAGCAATCAGCGACTGTTTTCCTCTTCTGGATATTGCTTATTTTGATTATTATCGGGGAAAAAACTGATCCTTTTCTATTCAATGAGAGTTTCATTTTCATTTTCGCCGGAGTTGCTTTTCTTATTGACTATTATGTGATGGGCAGTGGAATCACGGGTCTTGGTGGTGTTGTTTACGATCTATTAGGTGAAGTGACTATTTTGTGCGCTTGCTCTTGCTTGATTTTGTCTGTCAAGCAAACCCTGTTTCTGGTGGATTTTCTTTTTTCATGTGGGTTAATTTTCAAGGGGACCTGGTTTCTGCAAGCGGGATTGAATTTGTTCACTGACACATTTGCGATGAGGGGTTGTCATAAGATGGTGGCATCGCCTGGTACTGGAAATGTTGATGTGCTGTGTGATCTTGATGGTGATGGTTTGAGAGGGGTGGTGCTGGTGAATCTGTTGTTTGTTTGTCATGCTATTGTTGTCTTGATTGCGAGTTTCGTTTCGTTTGGGCTGTTGTCAAGTTATAGAAATTTGAGATGTGGCGAGGCAAGCGGTCCTTTGCTAGCACAGCTGGAATGAGAAGGCACATAATTCGGGCTACACCTGAATCTGAGAAGCAATGAAATGTACGGTTTTATCTTTTGACATGTATTTTTATGTAAAATTTTGGTTATAGAGATTTTCTTTTGAGATTGCATTTGTCTTTGACATGCATGCATGAGTCCCTCTTACATGGGTTTATAATCGAAAGTTACCTCTTGTATTAACTTTTAATCCTTTCACATTTTTTGGTTCAAATTGTTGCCTTATTGCCGGCATTTCTTCAGTAACTTTAGGGAACTAAATTGCTCCTGCCTAAATGTATTGTTTTGGGAGTTATGGGATTGACAATGTTGCAAGATATTTTTCTAATCAGAAATGTTGTAAGAACCTGAGAACAAGAAATCCATACATTGTGCAATTTTTGGCCAATATATAGAATAGCTTCACAGGTGACTCGGGGTATTTTAAGGTTGCCCATGATTCCAATGATGATTCTTTTGTATTTGTGTTTTTGTTGAATCTATTGCAGTAATTACCCTTCTGCTCAAGAGTTATTTCGCGTTGCTGCATTTTTGTTTATATTTGTTTTATGTATGTATTGTATGTTGTTATCACCTCCTGCCTCCAGTGGTAAATAAACTGATAATTAGAGATGGTTTTGAAGCTCTTCTAGCTCATTGCTCTGGGAGAGGAGAACCATGCATCTGTTTTGACTACAAATTTGTCAAAAATTGCTGGCAATGACATAATTATGTCTCTTAGAACACATACTGTATTGTAAAATACCATTGGCCCTTTTCTGGACTGGATAGGTCGATTCGACTTTTTGCAAAACAAAAAGAGAGTTGGTTGGTTGGACGGGCCACTCTTGATATCTTGCTCTAGAAAACATGTTTTTACATTGACAAGTATAGATAGAAGTATACCCCATACTTAAACTGAAGTTGTTCACCCCCTCAAATATTATGGTCTGTTTTGATTTGCCTGTCAAAATAATTTACTGAGTTTAGCAGGCTTGTTTTCATCTTCAGGTGTCACTGTTTTGCATGCCATATGGTTAAATATCAGTGCTAGGATAATCCTTTATATAATCTTCATTTTTTTTATTCACTGTAAGAATAATTTCAGAAAATTCATTAGGAATTCTTCTCATAATCTTTTTTTCTAAGTTTTTTTTTTTAAGTTTTGCAACGGTATGAGAATATGCATGATTTTATTGTGGGTGATCACATATTTTCTCATAAATAAAATTTATTTTAAAAATTAAAAAAATGAATATTTAAAGTGAAGTATTATAGTAAATTTAAGAAAAGGAATATATTTATGTAGTTTTTGTATTTTCTCTTTTAAAAAAGTATAAAAATAAGATGGTAGTAGACGTAGGAGATTAAGACATATAATCAAGTTGGAACTGGAAGGTGGTCGCCATACTAGTAGATGGTTAAGAAATAATATTTGTGAGTATGTGTGAGATAGGGAGGGTGGGTATGGTTGCCATGTATGATTGATTTCAAATGTGAATGCAAGTTGGGAATAATATAGGAGAGAGTAGATATATACATGCATTACAGTGGAGCATTAACTTTTAATTACAAAGGATTGTAAGGATTGAATGATTTTATATGGGTGCAACCTTACAACAACTCATTAATTAAATTTTGTGAATCACATTACAATTAATCACAAGATTTTTCCATATCCCATATTAAAGACTTGACATTTGTACAGATGATTTGGACGCTCCACTTACAGTTCCAAAATGGACCACATCTAATCTCACATGGTATATTCTATTATGTTACAATGTTCCACTCTCTATTTCTTTATTAATAACTGTTCAACCCTTATCTCATTTTATATATACTCCTTCGTGCTCCTTGGCTAGATACGACAAAATACCATGACTAGAAAGAAAGTTAAGCTTGCCTATATCACTAACAATTCTGCTAGAAAAATCACTTTCAGAAAAGAGACGGGTTGATGACGAGAGTGAGTGACTCAGCACTCTCTGTGATGTCAAGCCTATACAGTCATTTAGAACCCTTATGACTCGCAATTATAGGTTTGCCTTTCCCTTCTTGGAGTCTAATGCGTGCTTGCCGACTTTAAGGAAATGCCTGAGACAGAGTAGAGCAAGAAGATGGTGAATCAAGAGAGCTTCCTGCGCCCGAGGATCACCAAGGCAACCGACCAAATAAAGAAGCAGTGCAAGGACAATCGAGAGAAGGAGATCACACATGTCATGTTCCAAAGCCTTATCGGGAAGCCCCTCCACCAACTCAACCTCATTGATCTCAATGATCTGGATTGGTTCATTGAACAACGCCTTAGGGAAATCCAGAAGAGGATGGAAACACTTAGCCAGTCGCCTCAACCTCAAGAAGCAATGGATGGAGAAGTGATGAAGTGTCCTGGGAAGATGTATGCTCAAATTCCACCGCAAAAGTTGCAGTTGTTGCAGGTGTGGTTCGTTGAGGGGATGAACCTGCAAGCATAGCAGCAGCATCATTTAGGGTTTGGTAATAGAGACTAGGCGAAGATTATGATACCATTCGTGGATCAAAATAACCAGAATAATGGACTAATATGGTCCAGTGGATTTAATTATCCATAGGAATGGAATGCTAAGATGTTTAATTTTGAATTGTTTGGATTGTTGTTGTGATGTACTTAAGTAACTAATAATAATCCATCACAGACATATACCTTCAGATTCTTAATATTTGTAGTCGTCATCGTCCTCGCAGTAGTAGTCATTGTAATCTTTGCGTCGCATGCATGAATATAATGGCATTGCTTTCCCTTATGATTTTCTTCAAATTAATCTTCTCTTCAATATCTTATCTCATGTACTAGTACTACTCTTCCTTCTTATAATTTCTCTCTCACCCCGACTTGATCTAGTTCAATTGCTATTTGCTAAGATACTGCATGCCCAATGTAAGTTAAGCTATTAGAATGTTTCTTTTTTTTTTTTTTTTACACAATGGAGCGAGGACAAAAGTATTGTTGATGTAGTATATATAGAACTCAGTCTACTTAGGAAGAAGATTAAGCTAGATAGTTGTTCAAATTTTTTCAGATTTGAAATGAGATTTTTAATAAAATTTAATTGATATAGATACACTTTTCAGATCTTGAAATTAAGATTTAGGATAATATCATTAAGAAATAATATTTTCTTCAAAAAAAATTCCAATTTAATCAAAACATCTAAAGTAATTAATATTTTGATTAATATTAATATCATACATTCATCTGGAAAAATATGCTTAATTAAATTATAAATATGTTGTTTAGTTATTTGGTTGAATTTATTTTGGCTTTTAACGAACTAAAAGATATATAGATTACTTTATCTTTTTTTCTATATATTAAAAAATAAAAAAATTACTCCCACATATATACTGCCAATTAAGAGTGTTGATGAGAACTATATGTGTGTACTGGCAACTGGCTCTTTTGAATAGTTTGGATAGTATCTTGTATATTTTCCTAAATGTGTGATATTATTGTTATAGAGTAGCAAAGCTGTACAGGTAGCAAGTAGAATAAACATTTCTTTATGTACATATATACACACACACATATAATTTTAAATTGATTTTATTTATATATATTGCAGTATGCAATCTATAACATATCATATTTTAAATTGATTTTATATATTCCATACCCCTGCATGGTGAAATGACATTGAGATGTCACTCTTTCTTGTTTCATTGTAGAAATGAAACAAAGGAGAATTTGTATATCTTGTATCAACTGTCTTTTAAAGAATTATACATTTGGTGACCAATATCCTTGGTTTACATTATCTTGTGGATAGCTTTGTAAATAGAGAGTATGAAAGAAAGAAGAGAGACTTGTAAAGTTCTGTATCTTGTGTTGGTTGAGTTGCAATAAAAGTTTTTAACACATTCTGGGAAGCAAACTGATTTGTTTGTTTGTTTGATAATCTAGTAAATTTATTAGTTTGCTTGATACTATACTCGATAAAGTCTAAATCATATGCAGGATGTAAGCTCATCTTTATTTTGTATGACACTTGCTGTTTTTTTTTTTGTTATTTTGCTTATCTAAGGAATCTAGTGCACTTTTTTTTTTTTTTTTCTGTTTTGCTTCAGCCCTATTAAAAAGGGGCACACCCCAAAGCAAGTTGAGGTGTAATCAATGGGCATACTGGTTTCAAGGAAAAGAACATATTACACATATTTGGTGGGTTTCAATTCATGTATGTGATGTGTGTAGCCCATATATCAACTTCCACTTGGAAGCAGTTGCTGGTCTAATCTCATTTATACATTTCTTTTTCCCATAATAGTATGTGTTTTCAAACTATAAGCTGAATGAGCTTCATGTAATTCTTCATATAACAATATGCCTTTCAAACTATAAGTTCAATGAGTTTCAGGTAATTTGTCATCGATTGAAGACTTGCAACTGTTAGCTCATTCTACTTTGCTGATGAGTTATTTCCAGGATCGTGATGAATCCTTTAGGACAAGGGTTGAATTATTTCTAAGGTCTTGACATTTCATTGCTTTCTTTTCTTCATTATCTTTCTTCAATGTGTTTGTGCTTCAGCACACACCCACACTCATCCAAGTGAAGTAATGGTGTTCACTTCATAAGCTCTCATTGGCATGTAAGATTGTGACTTTTATAACATCTAGAGATGGTCATCAGCAGCTATATACATTGTTTGCCTTCAATACATGGCAAAGAGATAATTAAACTTTCTGAGTTTTGCCTAGTTAATTAAAATCATACTAGCAATATATGAGAACAAAAACTAAAAGATATCTTGACTTCTCTTCATGATCTTGAGGTTCTTCCTCTTTGGAAAATATGGTTCATGCTTTCTGTTTCCATTTCCAAACAAACCATGCTATTATTTTTTGAAAATAGAAACCTATTTTTAGGAGATGAAAATGTAAACAAAATACAGTCATTGTCCCTATTTTTATTAAGAAATAACATTTTTCTTAATTTAACCACTAAACAAAGAGGTCTAGAAAATGAAAATTTAATTCATGGTTTCTGTTCTCGTTTCCAAATGATTCATGCAATTATTTTTGATAGAAACTTACTTCTAGAAGATGAAAATGAAAAAAAAAGTCATTTTCACTAGAATTATTAAAAAAAAAACAGTTTTCTAAATGTAACCACTAAGCAAAGAGAATTTAAAAACAGTGATTAGAAACGTAAACTACAAAATGTTTCGCTCTAGCTGGTCTTTTGAGCTGTCTTGTATTTATGAAATTGTCAATGTTCTGTTTGTTGTTGATGTTAATACTCAACTGTTTTCGTCATCAGATTTGTTTCTTCCCTTCTTTCCACCCATGAAAATCAGTTTTACTTTTCCAAGCTACTTAACTTGGTCCATCTACGTAAAGAGATGGCAGGGTAAGAACCGGCACCTGAGATTGATCAGATAAGCTCCCAGAATTATTTATAGGGAACTAAATACACTTACATGATAATCCTTATGTTGGATATCATTTCCCTATTATTAGCACCAGAGTACAAGTTAAAGCATGTGGAACTGAGAGAATGGGGCTAGGCTGTCTCCTACAATCAACCTTTTTTTTACATTACTTACCACAAACTATATTTTCCAGAGAATAAGTTGGATATCAACAATAAGAAATCATTTTCCTCTTATTGTTGCTGGGATATAGTTCAAAGAAATAGAACTTATAGAACAGAACATGTCAGGCTAAGCTTCTATAATCAATCCTTTTTTCTCTCCATTGCTTATCGCAAAATGTTATTGGAAGAGTAGAAGTTGGATATCAACACTAACATGTTCAACCCTTATGTTCAATCCTTATCTAAGGTATTGTAGCAGAGCAAGGACAGGTTCCTAGGTAGACTCTTTAGTCACTGAATTGTTTATTACGAACTTTATTGCTAGAGTACAATTTCAAGGAAGTAGAACTGAGAGAGTAGGGCAGGTAATCAAATATTAAAGTGCATCTAGATGTCAACCTTGGTAAGAAGTTGTGGTAAAAAGTCCTTGACTTGAAATGGAACTGGAAGAGCTTCTCGTGGTGATTTAGATCGTGCTGAATATATCAACACTGCATTGGTGAAATTCTGGTTGGTTTTCTTGAATAGAATGGTTTTGCTGATGCCTTTAGTGGAGATCCTTCTCCGAGCGAATGGAAAACGGAAATTAAGTTGGGGAAAAATTGTTCAAGTGAGGACTTCCACTCACAACACCTGCTGATTTCCTTATAATGTCATAAACCAGTTACTATTTACCGTATATTATATTAGCTTCAGTCCTTGTAGGTTGTAGCTATCTATTGATTGATCACCCTTAGACTAGGAATGGGAACTCAAAAATTCAAAGGACCGCTGGTGAGGTGAAGAATGTTTTGCCTCTCAAGTGCTCCAAGCAAGAAAGCATGGTCTACATCATTGTACCATCAGATCAGAAGCAGGCCATCCCTAACGCAAATGAAACCTCAAACATCAATACATTTCTTGTTTATGCTTTTCTTACAGAGCATTTAGAAGCATGGAAAAGATGAGGTGGCTTTCATTCTGATATCACCAACAATTTTCTGGCAACAAATTTCCTGGTTAGTTGATTCTATGTGATTCTGCTTAAGTGCTTTCCGGCCAATCTTTTTCCCCGGTAAGATGCTAGCAAATTTAAGTTTATAATGTTTGATCATGTTTTAGCTCTACGCATGAACTTATGTTTATTTGGGCAACAGTGACCTAAATGCCAATTGAACAAACTAGATATTTGCATAATGTTTTGAAAGAAAAATATTTTCTAAATTATCTTCCAAAGAGAAGGAGCCAGTTTGATAGATCAAAAAAGAGCTGTTAAGGTTTCTAATTCTATGGGGCAACATTAAATCATAATTGTTGATTAAAATCAATTGCCGATTAAAACCTTGATTAAACATGAGTGAAAAGCTTAAATAGTCCATTATTGCGGTAGTATAAATAGGACTATGTAAACAATAATGCTGTTGTACCTGCATACTGCTGCTTCAATGCTATTGATCGACAAAAAGCGAAATAACTAATCAACAATGCTTGATCATTTTTCCAGAAGGAGAAAGTTAATTCATTAGAAGGTACAAAAGGTGCTTTCCCTATACACAATTTAGAAAGAGTCAAAAGACAAGATCTATGAGGGCGAGAACAGTGTTCTCATCATTGACAAAATGGCCCTTGAACAAAGACAAAGGATGCTAAACCAATAACCTCTGAGACATCCGTGCCAGTGAAAGAATAATAAAAAACTCTTCAATCTCTCTCCTTCGAAGTGACTTGAAGGGGACCAAACGAATAAGAGCAAAGAACTTTTCTCTTGGACTTGGAAATAGGGAAACCACTCTGAGCCTATGATTTGGATGAGAATTGAGGAAGTTATGAGTTTGTGAAAACTTAGAGCTGCAGAAAATCGCAAACAATGCATTAGTAGGTTCTCCGCTTGTTCTATGATTTTTGTGACTAATTTTCAGCCTCTAAACTAATTTATTCACGATTTGTACATCATAAACTCTCTGCATATCCTAAGATTGTATGATTTGGAAAAGAATTGAGGGAGTTATGAATTTTTTAATATTTAAGGTTGCTGGAGAAAACCTGAATCTCAACAACAATTTTAGGATTTTGAATCTCCATTTCACAGTAATCTTTTTGATTGATTCTTTCTTTTAACTTATAGTGCTACATGTTTAGTTTATGTGTATATAAGAATCATTGCCTAATTTAGTTTGTACTGCGAGATGAATTTTTTTGAAATACAAAGTATAATATGTTCGTTAATCCACAAAGCACTGAAGAGGTACCACCTGTGTATAAAAGTATTTACGAATCAGTGAATATATCAATAAAAATCCCTAAAATCCTCAATAGAAAGAATATGATGCATCATAACTGAAAAAACCAAATACTAGAGCCATCTGTTCCTAATTCTACCAAACTCTTCTTCCATCTCTCAAAAGCCCTCTTGTTTCTCTTCTTCCTTACCACTTAAAAAATAGTAAGGGTAATAAGTCCCACAAGTTTCCTCTCCTTACTAATTTCCTTCCAAACCCAATCTCGTTTCTAACCGAATCGGCTATTGCCCATGTAATCTGCAATGATCCATATACCGTTGTCCGTAGCTTGTACATTACCAGCCACTAAAGTAGGATATGATCGCAAGATTTAGTTTGTCTTGCAAAAATAGCAGTCATTCACCATAGTCTTTCCTCTTCTCATCAATTTGTCAATAACTAAGACATGCCCGAGCCCCACCTACTGCGAGATGAATTTTTAAAGTTGATTGCACGTTATACAATAATAATGATCTAAACCTTAAATTCTAATGAATGATTTTAACATACTAAAATTGATACTATTGTGGTTAAAAATTTGTGGAGATATAAATTTTATCAATTACATATTAAAGTTTATAGGGTTCTATGAAAAGAGTTGTGAATTTTCAAAAATAATAAGTTCGTACTAAATCCTAAGAAATTTCATAGATTGTAAATTAAAATTTGACAAACAGCCTACTAGATACCCATTGGATTGTAAGGGTCATGCATTAGGCTTCTCATCATAATGCATACACATTATTGGAGTTTTTGGATATTTATTTGATATTTTGAATATACAAATTCTTAACATTTTAAGATCTGACGTTACAGATGAATAGTGACAGCTTCTCTACAAACATGACATGAGTACTGCATCGTTTTTTTCTTTTTCTCTAAAACTTACTTTGGAAAGAAAAAAAATTACTTTTCCTTTCTTTAGTGCTAGAAACCCTTTCTTTTTCTTTCTTAGTACTAAAAATATATATATATTTTCTTTTACTTTATTATGTAACATCTTGCAATGATGATTTTTCTACACAAATTTCCAGACAACCAAATGTTATATTAGAGCTCATTGATGTTTGGAGAAGCAAGCACATAAAGTTCTTTAGTTAGGACAATATTTGGAGCTCATTGGATTTGCTTTATTATAGTTTTAATCACGTGGCAGAACATGTAAGATGGAAGTCAGTTTAATCCAATTTGGTATATCCCATTGGAGAAGAAAATTTTGGGATTCTTAACCATTTTTGACGAAGACGGCCGAACCCATGGATTTTAATCCGGAAACGGATTCTCTTGATCTTCCTTGTGAAGTCACCACATCTTCCTCTCAGAATTTTAGATTTTGAAATGATCCCCAATTTCTTAACAAACCTGCATCCTGCATTTCCTTGAATACAAAAGGTAAGAAAACTGAGATGCAAAATCTAGAATTATCTGTCGCTTTTTATTCAGTAATCTTTTTGTAATTAAAGAATAAGGAAGATAACCTTTCATAATTACAGCTCTGTTTGGGCAATGTTCCATCACATGGGATGACTTTACCAAGTTTGCATTCAATATTATTAACGACCTAAGTAAGTGTCTCCTTCACACTTGGTTTAGTTAAGCTTTAGTTCTCAAGATATGGGATGATTAGTGAACTTACAAGTTCAGTTTCCAAGTTTGCATTCAATACCTTTAGACTTTAAAATAATCAGCTTTTAGGATAACTGGTCATTTAAATTTATCATGCCCCAAATTTTATTAAAATTAAATTTTAGCACAAGATATTTGGGGGCCAATGTTATGTTAGTACTTCTAACCTATTAGGTTTATGCACAAAGGACCGTGTTATAAAATAAATAATAAAGTTAGACTGTTTTCAATCAGTTTAAGTTTGTAAAGTAATTAGTTGTCCAACTCAGATATTTACCAATCTCTAAGGACCCAAGTAGATGTACCCTCCAAATTGAGTTTTTAGCAAAGCTTAGTTCTCTGGTTTGCATTTGATATCTCTAGTGGCCTAACTGGTAATTCCAGTTAAGATAATACCATTTCTCAACTCCTTTGTCTCTTTAGGCATATGTCACAGAAAGCATACCTTGAACCTTCTCAATTTCTCCGCCTTCTACTGAGTTTATATCCTCTAGGACCTGCATGTTTGGAAAGATGATTATGTTTCTCTCACATTTTGTTTTGAGTCCCAAAATTGCTCCAACATGACTATGGATGAAAACAGGAATGATATTTTAGTGCATCAGAAGGAATACAAATTTACACGATACAACAAAATTGTTTGACTGCTGACATGATGATGCTGTTTGTGTTTTTAAAATAGAAGTTCAGTACCTGAACCAAAATTTCCAAACGGCTTCTTAATCGTCTTTGTATGAAACCTTTGGTGCACTATTTAATCAATCTTGTTAGCCATGACAGAGATCCAGTTCTTACACTTGCAAAAGCAAAGAGGAAGCAAAATTCCTAGTACAAAAGGAAAAAGGGACTAACAAACAGATACCACAAAAATATTACCTTCACATGGTATTTCACATGAGCATAGAAATTCAGTAGAATCCACACAGTCTTGTCTAGCTTTTCACCCTCAACATGACATGAAGATATTTCTGTCAGTATGTCATGCAAATAAATTTTAGCCTGCGCCTAACAGATCTCAAGGGAAAACCGACCAGACTTGGAAATTTTGGTTTAATATTTTTGAAATGATCTTATACACTGTCCTACAATTCTGCACAGACCAAAATTAACTTTTTTTTCGGTGAAAGAATGTGAACAATCTAAATATTGAAGGGACAGACACAGCTGGAGCATCTATGTTCTGTTTGTTCAAAGTTGTACTAAAATTTAAGTACTAATGATAAAATAATGATTCTATCCATGACTTTCTGTGTTTAAACTGGAACCACGAACATACCAAAAGAGACAAACCCTCCGTTGGTGCTTAAATCTTTAAATGGTTCTCCTCTCAGTTCTGGAGGAGGAATGGGTGACCAGTTGCATGGAGGTACTTTAGCAAATTCTTCAGAACTACCCACATCCATAAGTTCCTGTCCAGTAAAGGAAACACATTAACATTTGCTTTGATAGTAAGAAGAGCTTGACTTTAGTTAGTCCTGGAATGGACAGGCCTAAGTGGAGGTCACCAGCCACAAACCTGAAAGAAGGCTGTTGCAATAATCACATCTGAGTGTTCCTTGAAACGCATTGGAAACACAGCAGTGATCATTTGAGGCTGCCAAACAGATGACTTCTTAATCATCATTATATTTATTAAATATAATTTTTAAAAATTTTCATTTTATTTCAACTGGGTATTTGCCCAATTTTAGGGTCATAGATAGTAAAGAATTATATAAAAAAAAAAGGAGAAATAAAGATGATTTCTGTTAGGCTTAATGTAATTAGAAGAAGCAAGCAACACTTTAATGTTCTCAAGCACCTATACTGAAATTTTCGTTCAAGAGAAGGGATTGGTGGATTGTCCACGCTACTGGTTTTATTGATTGTATTTTTCTATCATGGTGATCACAATCTTGGATTGAGGATATACTATTTTTGTCAAATATCCATATTCAGAAAATTTAATGGTCTTGAACCTGATTTTTGAATGTGCCATCTGATGAAGCAAGATTTATATCTTGACAAATTTTAAAAGATATGTTGTAACTGCAGATAGTGAATGAGATTTCAGATTAAGAAGAATGATATTTTAGACTTATAAGATTTTGGAGTGACTTAAATTGAAATTTTAAAGTAACACTCTAGCTATGTGACTTGTAGAGCTTGGCCATATATTATCAGGTCAAGAGGGAGATAACCAGTGATGTATTCAACCCTTATTGTTCTCTGCTGCTAAGAAGTTGGAAAACTGCTTCAGTTGCAGAATGATCTCTAAGACGTGTAAATAGGTTGATATTTTAATCTTAAGAATGGTTTCTTTTTCTGTTTCACTATATTATGGTTTGTATTCCATTTCTTCAAAACTAAAAAATTAAAATCTGTCAAAGTAGGGAGTATGAATTCCACTTATATTCTATTCATATTTACTCTTGAAAAATAATGTGATCATATTCTTCACTGGAATTCCTGTGGAATTTTGTAAACATCACTCCTATTCATTGAATGTTACTGATCGTGATTATGAGACTTACCTGTCTGATAACATAGAAAGGTTCTCTAGGGTGGTAGACAAGTTTGATTGGTTTGCATATCCCCTGGGATGCATTCAGTGAATTGACAGTTTGCAACATTTCTTTCAGCTGTAAACTTAGTATTACTGCTTGCATGGTGGAAATTTCTGTAATTATCTTCAGTGAGTCTGGAATTAGAAAATAGACATCAATATGATTATAGATTGAATAAGTGCAGAAATCTATACTCTCACATGACATGGAAACTACTTTATCACCATCCATGCATCACTTTTTTTTGCAACCATTCCTCAATAATATGTTATATAATGATGGGATACCTTTTGCTAACTATATGCTACAAAACCTCAAAGTTATTCATCTTTTAACAAAAGTTATCTCATTGCTGAATTCATTTTTGCAATTTGCCTACATTCTTACATAGCAGTATCTCTATTATTGCAGAATAGGAAGATCCTAAAGTTGACATATTTCAAATCGAAGATACATGTATATATATTCATAAGATATTTAAATTATTCAGGAACCAGAATCTATAGGCTTATTAAAGGTACAAGTCGATTATTTCCTTTTTGTCACCATCCATGCTGCACTTCTTCTTTTTTCATTTGTTCCTCAGTAACATGATATGTCAGGATGGGATATCTTTTGCTAATTACCTGCTCCAAAACCTCAAAGCTTATTCATGTTTTAACAAAAGTTATCTCATTGCTTATTTCATTATTGAGACTTCTCTACATTCTTATATAACATTCTCTCTATTGATGAAGAACAAAAAGATCTAAAATGGACATGTCTCAAAAATTAGATATATTTATATAATTATTATAATTTTATGTACCATCAAGATATTTAGCTTTTTTAGGAACCAGTATCTATTGGCTTATCTAATGTACAAATTTATCATTTCCTATTTAGTTGTGATCTTATTTAGTTATTAACTATTCTAGCTTATTTCAATTAATTAGTTTATTTTCCTACTTTGTAAAATTCCTAAATAGAATTAAGAATTCCTATTTTGATTGTATGGTACCTGTGAATAAGGTACCCTGTCTTAGTTATTTGTCAAACTATTGATGATTATTATATAGATATTGAGTAATTAATATGATAATTGAGATTCTAATCTTAATTCTACATAAAGTTTGTCTAACTATTGTGTTCAAGTTCTCTTTATCCTACATCAATTGCTGTCTGAGCTTAAACTAGATTCATCATGTTACCCTAATTCTCTCATTCTAACTTCACAAAACACAAATCTATTTTTGAAAAAAATCTTAACACCCTAAATCAAGTGTCAATGGTAACTTCAAGAATAGGAGAGAGAAACATCACAACATCAGTGCAACACTATCCCCGGCCACTGCTAGGAGGTGATCGATACTGCCCCTTCCATTGATTTCTGAGAATGTCAATTGGCTGACCCACAAAATCTTAGCATCTGTTGCTGGAACCCTCCTCACTCCCAGAAGCTCATTGGGTCACTACTACAAAAACTAAATCTCCTTTCTGGCTGCAAGAAGTCACACCAACACTAAATCCAAAAACCAATGCCTCCAAATGAATCTTCCTATGTAATTGTTGTTGAGAGCTCACTAGAAGCCGGCGCATGACGCCCAAGCACCAATCAATGTATGTGGGTTTCACAATTCTGAAGCCTTCTGTTGATGAGTTTATATCAATTCTGGTTCAGTCTGATTTGATTTGTTAGATTCAACCACTTACAAACTGGTTCTTGATATTTCAAATTGGTTCTTAAGATTTTTTCGCATGCTTTTTCAGTTTTTGATGTTAGTTTGGTCAATTTCCTATTATATATTCTCTCTTTTTTTTCTTTTTTCAGGTTTGCAATTTGGCAAAATGTGCTTGGAGTTAGAAAGAACTTTTCAACAAAATTAAAATGTGAGCAGAGGTAATCATGTTCTTTTAGTTGTATCAGGCATATGATTGAGTTATAAAGATTATCTACAAGGTGATTTATATGAAATCTTTTATCAATATCGATACATTGAGAAAATTAAAATTAGTAGAAGTTAAAGGTTGCAAGCTTTTACGACTTAATGAACTCTGTGAAGGTGTTCTTTGGGCTTGAGATTCTCTGCAAGGATATTGCATATATGACAAATGTTATCGAATGGAATTCTATTATCTTTTAAGGCCGAAAACAATGGAAACAAGTACCCTACATGTAATAAAAGAGAAACCACAGGAACAACGTAACAGTTTTTATCCTTATAAAGGTGTTTGGAAGGAACCAAGTAAGAAGATTAACATATTTGAAATAAAGATCAGAAGACACCTATGTCAATGAAGTCTTAAATTTTTTATTGTATAAAAATCTAGCATATCTGAAATTATAGTAGAATATAATGAGCAAGTAGAGGATGGAAAGGTTAATGAATTCGTGAATGAGCAAAATTTTACGAAAGTGTTATTACATGGTGATAAGGAATTAACTAATAATATTGAAAATAAAAACACAACGAGATAATTGAGATAATAAAAGATATTGCGGAAAAGATGGTTATTCCTATTGATTAACTTGAGCTTTTAATCATAGCTCTTCTGATCTAATAGCAAGCACCGACATTGCTTATATCGAAAACAAGGATATTTTAGTTGACTTAACCTCAATGAAGACAAAGGAAGCCCTACCTGAAGATATTACAATATTTTTTACAACCAATATTGACAGTTAAGGTTTGGTGATTTTTCTATTTATCGATTTTGCTTGCCTATTTTCTCATTTACTCCTGAATCCATGATTTGGAAGTATTTTTGTTTCTCACAATAATCTCAAGTTTCACACATTTCAATTTTTGGGAGGACAAATTCACATTGTGATAATCTTTTTATTTTCACATCTCAAAACTCGATGTCGAGTTTTCACCAAGTTAAAGAACAGAGATCTTAAAATGAACATATTTAGAAATACAT